GTAACAGTAGCAGTAACAGTAACAGTTGTTGCTAAGGATGCCACAAGACAGTTCAGAATAGAGGACAAACATTCATTCAGTTAACAGTAAACAGTTCAGAAAAGAGTTCAGTTGATCATTAAGAAAATATTCATTTTCGAACATATCTTTACAACATTGTTACTCACAGAGTTCTGGGCTACAGATAAGCTAGTACGCGTCCTCGGATGCCAACCCTACACAGTTACAGAGTGAACACACACTAAGTTACACAGTTGGGAAATAATAACTTAATCTCTATCTTGACTCGGTGTGGTTCTACATCAATATCCTCATTAAGATGTCTTAAACTAGGCCTAAGAATGCCTAGAATGGAATGAGGATGCAAAGATGCACTTTAAAAATATTTTCAGATTTTCAGAAAACAGAGGTCCCGCTCGAGCGTACAGGCACACAAAATACTCCGCTCGAGCTCGAGTTACCCCGCTCGAGCTGACTGTAAAACATGCCAAAAGTACTGGATGGGTGAAAATCACGCTCGATTGGTCGCTCGATACCTGCTCGAGCGTGTGACACAAGTCCTCGCTCGAGCGTCCAATACCTTGCTCGAGCGGATTGTAAAACAGTGCAAAGTGCTGGATGCACGAATTTCCTGCTCGAGCGCCACTTACCCCGCTCGAGCGTGAGTCTAAAATCTAAAATTTCCAGATTTAAACTTCAAGCTCAAAATCAAGTTTCAATATACCAAATTCGATCCTTTTAGGCTAATTTTCTGGAAAACACATTAAACTCATAGTATAACATGTTTTGAAGATCAATTTGAGAAATCAAAGTCTAAGGGTAGTTCAATTAAACACACTTTTGAACCAAATTTCAAGAACATAGCTTTAATGTGACATGCAAGTATTTAACCAAGATCAAAGCTTCTATTACATGCTCTAATGAGCCAATTTCCTCAAAAACAAGATGAATTCATGGTCCACTGCAAAAACATGAACATGCATGTGGAATTTCATGAACATTAACTTCAAAACTCAAGAATGGCAACATGCATGCATGGTTTAAGCTCTTAATTCAATATATGAAGCTAATTCATGTCTGTAATCTCTAGACTTCCATGCCATGCAACAAAATGACTCGAATTCATAAACAAGAAGGTATAAACTCTACCTTAAGTCTCCAATTATAAGACTAGAAGCTCAATTAGGCAATCTCTTCTATGATTCTTCAAATTCCAAGCTAAAACTCTCAAGAACAACTCAATTCTCTCTCACTCTTAGTCGGTTGAGGGCTCAAGAATGGCTGAACTAATGTTTTGTTTGAATGTAATAAGGCTTCAATATGTGTTGCCTAAGTAGTCCACTAACATGGCATTATGGTAAATACTTGGACTTTTGTGTTTCAATGCTATTTAATCTAATTTGATCATACCGAATCACATTTCAAGTAAATATACCATAAAATCTCATAAATTCTAATTAGCACATAACGCTAATCAATTTCTGGTTTGGCCGCAGATAAGGCCTTCAATTTGCAGTTTAAAACATAAAACATGAACATATAATTTGACAGTCGAACAGATAGAAATGCGCTTAGACAGATACAGACAATCAATCGGTTCAGGATTTCAGTCAATTATCATGATCAGTCTCAGTTTAGCAGTAATCAGTGGTGTTATCAGTAAACAGTGGTGAGCGTTATTACACTATTGGTCCATCTATATTACATTCAAATTTGAGAAAATTGCACTTCAGTGTAAGTTTAAAAAAAAAAAATTACAAATCAATGATAAACTTTATCACTTTTAATAATTAAAGTTATAAACTTTTTCACACATTCAAAAATATTTTATGCAAAAATATCATTGATTTGCAGTTTTCATTGAAATTTTGATGACCATTTAATAGAAATTCCAAAACAAAATCTTATTTGTATTTTAACCACATCTCATTTCAAAATGTATAGATGAAAAATCTAAAATAAATTTTTAAAAAATTTTTAGATTCTTTAAATTTTAAAAGTCAAAAATGAAATTTTAGTAATGCTATGACAATCACATTTGGTACAATCTAATGGTGCCTTAAATACTAACCATGTGGTTAATGCATCATTAGGTGACACATTACATATAGTCAAATATAGTATTGAAATATGGTCATCGTAATATTATTCATTTTAAAAATTTATAGAAATTATTTGTTGTACGAATTATACGTAACTTAACAATATAAAAAAAAAAAATTTAAAACGTTATGTAGATTACGAAACTATTCTTCAAGTAAATTATAAATACACTTAATCTTTTAATGATAACCGTGTTGTTTGTCCAATCCAAATAGTTTGGTCAAAAAACAAAAATAAAAACAAAACAAAACAAAACAAAAATAAAAATAAAAATCAAGCCTAGCCTAAAGTTCTTATCTATGAATTAGTTTATATCATATAAAACACGCAGTCTTCCCTAAACCCTAAATGCCTCTTACTTTTCTCTCTAAATTGTTCTACAAGGGGAGAGGGAGACGGTAGTGGTTCCTTCCACCTCTCTGATATCCCTCCCCATCCTTTCGATTATTTTGTAATCTAGATATGATGTTTACCTCTTCAATCTGGGCATTATTGTCTTAATTTTTCTACATTCGAACTCGAAATTTTAATATTTGATTTCAAATCTTCTCACAATCCGAAGGCCGACGCTAGATAACACATTTGTTTTACACTAGACGACCACCTCAACCTCAATGTCTTGTCTAGACCAATGGATGTGGAGTCTTCAGATTCCAAGTGGAAGGCTGCAAAGCAATGGAGTTTTGAATGAGTTCAGTAGTGACTTGGATATATATATATATATATTTTTTTCTTAATTTTTAGTTTGGTGATGTACTAATCCTCCATGTGTAGAGGTTTGTTTCCCTCCCTTATGAGATCCTTTCCTCCTCTTTTATGGAGGTTTGGATCATTTCTTCTATGAAAGTTGTTTATCACTTTTTGAGATCTTGTAATACCATTGTACCAGATTGATTTAATCTTTTATCAGTTTTTGCAATGAAGGTTTTCTTCCCAATCCTAAAAAATAAAAAAAAAGTTCTTATCTATGAGTTATGCCTTGACTAATAAAATGATGTGATATAATTTTAGATGAGTAATGTTAGGAATTATAAAAAAAAAAAAATTATAAAATACTTTGTTACGATTTTTCACATTTGGATTACACATATAATAAAATGCACACACTATTCAAAAGATAAAAAAATTTCATGAAGCGTTTCATGATATATATATATTTTTTATAATTCCAAACATTACTCTTTTTTTTTTTTTATCAGCAAAAGAAAATTTCATTAAAAGCATGAAATTAAAGGTACAGGAAGATGACATGCATCGAGAGAAATTCAGTAGTACAAAATACCTCTACTATTGCTACTCGCATCCATACAACCAACCCCTTGGCCTCACGAATTTTTTTTCTTTGAACAAAAAAGTTAAGAAGAACTTAACCAGAAAAAAATACAATAAAAATACAATAATCCCCACAAATCAACCCACGAAACCCAAAAACAAAGCCAAAACCCAAGACCAAAAAAAAAAAAGAACTTAACCAGAAAAAAATACAATAAAAATACAATAATCCCCACAAATCAACCCACAAAACCCAAAGACAAAGCCAAAACCAAAAAAAAAAAAAAAAAAAAACTAAACTATGCCGCCCACCTGCAAATTTTGAAATCTAAATCATACACCTATGCAGCTTCAAGAAATTGAGCCAAAAACTTGCTTTGATGGTAATCCGATTAAATCTATATTTACCCCTTACTATTATATATAGAAAAACATTATTTTGCCTTCAATTTATGAAATATTGACATACACGTGGCTCTTTACTTAATATCACAATATTTTAAAAATCATTTAAGTCATGATTTTATTATATAAAACAAAATGTTGTTGAGTCATTGAGGCTCAAAGTCTCAATGAAAATTTATTAAATTATAAAAATACAATCATGAAAGTGTTTGTTTTGTTCAATATGATGATATTTCTCATACATTTAATTTAAAAAAAGTTAAATCTAAGAACCTAAAAAAATTAAGAATAACATGAATTAGACTACAAAAATTTAATTTGAAGTGTAAATAATAATAATGAAAATTTTAATTATTGAACATGTAGAGTTCAATATCTAAATAGCAACAATGAAATTTATGCTTTTGGTCTTATCGGACAAAATGCTCAAATATTATTTTAATTTTGATTTTATAGTTAAAAAAAGAAAGTAAATTTTGATATGTGTCTCAAATAGCTTGAACCTTAAAAAAAAAATTAAAAAAAATGTAACGTTGATGATTCATGTAATTATCTAACGCATTAACATAAAAAAAATTTAAAATAATAATAATTTTCACATCCCCTTTTGAGAGGTTATAAAATAAAGATAAGTAAATTAAGTGAAGTCTGAATATTATTGTTTAAAAAAAATTAACATTAACATATTTGAAGTAAAAAATTATGTCTATTTTTTTCCCTCTAAAATATACTGCTAGTATATATACACACGTGTTTACATTACATAATAAAAAAATTATGAATAAGATATATTGACTCATTTGTTTGGTAATTATGAAAAAATGATGACTTACCTAGTACGTGTTGCGATTTTTTAGAAAAAATCACAATATCATATAATACATATTAAAAGATGATAAATTTTCTTTATTGAAATGAGTAAATATATACATATATATATTAACCTCTTTCGTTACAAAAAGTTCTTCATGTAACTCCAAACAGTTCCAACTGTTATAAACTTAGTAATAATGAAGGAAAAAAACAAAGAAAATAATAAATTGACATTATAGAAAATTAAATGTAGCATTTAATAGCAGTTGAATCCTCTCTCTCTCTCTCTCTCTCTGATTCACTTCTCTTATAAATAGCCACCATCTTCACCTCCCTCAGCATAAGCCTCACACAACACCACCACCTTACACACAAGACCTATCTGAAGGAGTCTTGAAAAACATCCAATGGCCACTAACCAATTCTCTTTTGCAACACTTGTTCTCTTCATTTTAATGATCAACCTACACTTAGAAGGCACCATCGCCAACAATGCAGGTTGGCAGAGCGCTCATGCCACCTTTTATGGCGGCCTCGATGCTTCCGGGACAATGGGTATGTACAAACTGTACATACTTTATTAGTTGCCTCTACCTTCGCAATATCTAAATTTAGCTTAATTACACTAGTATAAAAATGTTACACTATAATTCTTAATTTTTATTTATTCCAATTTAATCTCCAAAGTTTATAATTTGTTATATTTTTGTCACTAATGTGTTTTGCAGGAGGAGCTTGTGGGTATGGAAATTTGTACCATCAAGGGTATGGAACAAGCACTACAGCACTAAGCACAGCTTTGTTCAACAATGGGTTCAGCTGCGGGGCTTGCTACGAGATACAATGCAACAACGACCCCAAATGGTGCCTCCCTGCCACCATCACCGTCACCGCTACAAACTTTTGCCCACCTAACTATGCTCTGCCTAACGACAATGGTGGTTGGTGCAACCCTCCCCTCCAACACTTCGACTTGTCCGAGCCTGCTTTCTTGAAAATTGCTCAATATCGTGCTGGAATCGTGCCCGTTGTCTTCCGAAGGTAAAAAATAACACGAAAAATACGATTCTTTCATAATTTTTATATGATTTAATCCATATTAAAATTTGATTAATGAGAATTGAGTTGGTTTGTGACAGGGTGCCTTGTATCAAGAAAGGAGGAATTAGGTTCACCATGAATGGCCACTCCTACTTTAACTTGGTTTTGATCACCAATGTCGCGGGTGTAGGGGATGTCCATGCAGTGTCAATCAAGGGATCCAAGACAGGGTGGCAAGCGATGTCAAGAAACTGGGGCCAAAACTGGCAGAGCAACTCTTATCTCAATGGCCAAAGTTTGTCTTTTCAAGTGACTACCAGTGACGGTAGAACTGTGACAAGTTACAACGTGGTACCTGCTAATTGGCAATTCGGCCAAAGTTTTCAAGGGGGTCAATTCTAGATTGTTGTTGATACATAGTTTTTTTGAAAGTAGATTTTGCATAATAAGATCTTTTTGCATGTGGTGACTTGAGTAAAAGCCCCTGCGAGACCTTTCATGTTGATGGTAGCTTAATATAATATATAATTTGTGTCCTACTACTCTACTCTCATCTTTCCTTTTTTTTTTTTGTTTTTAACCTTTGGTATATTTGCTTGAAACAGACACACATGACATGCAAATAAATTACTACAATTATAGAAAACTAATTCTACATACCCAGGTTTTGTTTTAAAAATTAATGAATGATTTATTTATAAGATATAAGAGTTTATGGGTACTTATGCTTTTGCAATGACCCTCTAATTTATAGAAGTTCAAAAATCAAAATTAGGTAATCATTTCAAAATGTTATGTGAGGACTAGTATTGTTATTTTCCTGTCATTTATTTCTATTTTCCTAAATTTTATCACGAATTTTAAATTTTGTGGGTTAAACAGAAAGTAATTAATGACAAGATAAAAAAAGTGTTTAAAAAATTACCCTTAATTGTAGATCAAGAGTGTGTATATTTTAAATTTGTTGTTTGACCACACAATTGATGAATCTCAGCCATTAATTACAAATTCTAAGCAAAATTTTGGATTTTCTTTTGGGGACTAGTAGTTGGTGTTATCTTAGATTAAAATTTTGGCCATGAAACATATATAAGGTGACAGTTTTACTCTTCTTATCCTAAGCAGTACTTGAGATATGAGACCAAGCTCACTTTGGATTTCAAAATGGCAAAATGGTTTTAATGAAAATTAAAGAATACCTCCAATTATTAATATTCTTTATCAAGTGTGCTGTGAAAAGCTGCAGAGTAGTGCATCAACAAAATAAATAAATAAATTGATGAACAAATTATACTTATAGTCAGGGATGGAACTAGGAGAAGACTATGGGGGGCCATGGCCTCCCTGTTTTTCTAAAAATTATTGTTTTGAATTTTGAAAATATATATCATTTTATACATAAAATGGCCACCCAGTACAAAAAAAAAATGTCATTCATCTTCCATTTTTCATTCTCTTTCTATTTTACATCAAAAAAACTTCTTCATCTTATTAGAAATTGTTTCTATGGTATTTAAATTTTTGTTCATGTATATATAATTTGTATATATCATATTATACATACATATATGTTTTGTGTATATAGTGAAAAAAATTATTTTCTTTTGGCCCCTTCAATAATGAAATCCTGGTTCCGTCCTTGCTTATAGTTAGTGTTATTATTTTTTTTAATGTCAATTTAATTTCTATAATTTTAATTATCAGTTTTATGCATAAACACTTTTTTTCTTTTCCCTTTTTTTTGGTCCAAGCATAAATTGATTTCAAGTTATAAAATAAGTTGCAAAGTCCATCAGAGCTTTACACGTTACAGATTTTGGCCCATCTTTATTATAGTGGGCTTTAGTCTTCTACTAGCTTACATCGTTAAGGCTGAGTAAGAAAATTAAAAAACCTACAAATCAAACTGATTCAGTTCAATTCGATATAGTTCAGTTTTGATTTGAAAAATTGGAGAATTGATCTCCATGGATTGATTATGGATTTAAGTTCCTAGTTCTAGATTAGAACCGAACTGAACTATATGTAACTTAAACCATATACATATCATATTCCTTGATGAACACAATTCTACCATCTTATATATAAAACCAAACCCTAATTCATAACATTTCATATTAATATAATAATAAAAATTGTGGGAGGCAAAAATGAAGAGTTTCATTCTGAGTCGAAAATGTGTAGAATTCGAGTAGGATACACTCTGATGAGCACAATACCAGTACCAAACGACTAGGACTAGAGATCCATATCCAGGCATGCAGATCCAAGACCAAGTTTTGAGATCCAGAACTAGAAGAGTCCAAGGGACCAGGACCAGAGGTCCAGGACCACAAGAGTCTAAGGGACCAGAACTAGAGATCCAGGTCCAGACAAGTAGGTCGAGAACCAAAGAACCAAGTCTAGAGGTTCAAGTCTAGACATGCGGGTCTAGGACCAGAGGTGAAAAACCAAAGGACCAGGTCTAGGGTCCAAGCCAGAAGGCTAGATCCAGAAGGCATGGCCCTTAAGGGTAGACTTGGTCGAAGTTTGGTCCTTATTTTAAGGGGCAACCACTCTTGGACTACGATAGTAGAACATAGTACCACAAAAAGTGGGCTAAACATAAGTAGTGGCATGGAAAGTGGAACCAACTCCAACAGTCACTTTAAAGGCTCTATAAAGCCATACCAAGTAAGAAAAAAGGCAGACAATTTTAATTACAAATATTTTGGGCTGCTCCTATTCTTATATGTTCTTCCTCCATTACTTTCAAGCCCTCTAACTTAAGTATTAGATAATCCCCTGACTGCCCACCAGCGGGGTTCTTCATATTTGCATGAGTGTTTTAGGCCAAGTGTCACCGTGTTCATGCCAAAGTGCCACCACAACAAAGGTGGTTCAATTTTCATCCACCACAATTTGGCGTTGTTTGTACGAAATTTGTAACAGAAAACATTGCTCTAGTCTTTGCTCGTTTCAATTCATTCATTTTTCAATCATTAATGACTAAAGAAAATGGCATCCTACCAACCGGTGAAGAACATGACATTTTATGCCCTCCAGTTCAATGGACACACCTGTTAGACTTAGAAGGCAACATTTGGTTACAGTTTTAGCCCATGGAAGACCGAGGAAAAGGCGGCATTTAGTTGCATGAGTTCGCTCGAGAGACAAAATCATCAATGCAATGGACAAGAAACTCAAGAAATTGTTTGAACAAGTCAAAAAATTAAAGCAATATCAACTCTAACCTCGGACTAAAAGGCAGCTCAAGATTGTAAATCAGCTCTGATCGAACAGTTTTTGAGTAGAATATCATGCTCATTCACCTATTTGAATAGAACATCCCACTCCTACACCTATCTGAGTAGAGCATCATGCTTCTGTACCTATCTGAGCAGAACAATGTGCTCCAACATTTGTCCAAGTAGAACATCATGCTCATGCACTTGTCCAAAACAAAAAAGCATGTTCTAGCATTTACCTGAGCAAAACAACATGCTCCAGCATCTATCTGAGCAGAACATCCTACTCATGTACCTATTCGAGCAAAACAACGTGCTTCAACACTTGTCCAAACAGAATTGCGTGCTCCAACACCTATCCAAGTAGAATAGTGGAGTTCAACACTTATCCGAAGAGTATCTGAAGGAATTATGGTCTGGTCAACAGAACCAAGGCCTGATATGATCACTTCTCCTTTTTGTAGGAGGATTAATAAGATGGAGCCTCCAAAAATTTCAACATCCTAAAGTTTGAGGTTTACAATTGTTGGTTAGATCCCTTGGACCATCTTTGTCACTACCGCCATGCAGTGTCCTTTTGGAATAGGAATGAAACACTTATGTACAGGGTCTTCCTATCTAGCCTAGGAAAAGTAGCCAGCCAATGGTTTGACAACTTCATGAAGGGTTTATTGACCGTTGGCAACAGTTGCCAAATAGTCATGTGAAGCGCTTTGTGATCAACGTCTAGTGTGCTAACGATGTGAATGCTTTGCTAGCCCTAACAAAAATCTCATAAGGAGATCAACGTCAAGCAGTATTCCTAACTTTACTAGGAGACCTTTTATAAAGTTGAAGAGAACTGTTCAAATCAATTAGGAATCGCCACATTTAAGCATGGCTTGTCAACAGGAGATAAATTATGGCAGTCCCTTTCCAAGAAACCAGCAAAAGGAGTTTTTAATCTATGAATCAAAATTGACCAGTACAGCAAGCTGGTGGAAGATTAGAAAATTTCTGAATAACTATTGGTTCAAAGGGAAGAAAGTTAGACAATCCAACTCTGGTTATAGTTATGTTGTTTCACTTAGGTGCAATTTCCAACAATTCCCTAAGTATAAAAAAGTTGGACAATCCAACTCGGGTTGTAGTTATGTTTTTTAACTTTGGTTCAATTTTCAGCAATTCCCTAAGTACAAGAAAGTTTGACAATTCAGGGTAGATTGTAATTATATTCTTTTACTGAGGTCCAATTTTTAGAAATTGTCTAAGTAGAAGAAAGTTGGACAATCCAACTCAGATTGTAGCTCTGTTCTTTCACTTAGGTCCAATTTCTAGCAATTGCCTAAGTACAAGAAAGTTAGACAATCCAACTTGAATTGTAGGTGTAATTTTTAGCAATTAAGTACAAGCAAGTTGGATAATCCAGTATGGATTGTAATTGTGTTCTTTCACTTAAAATTTTTCCGCTCTAGTATGGATAGATTGACTTGGATAAACTCCAACTTTCCCCTATGGCTAGGCTTGGAAAATTCGGAGTTAAGGGGCAATTGTGGGAAGCAAAAATAAAGAATTTCATTATGAGTAGAAAATATGTAGAATCTGAGCAGGATAAAGTTTGACGAGCACAATAGCAAGCCTATAAGACTAGGGGACCAGGACCAGAGGTTTAGGTCCAGACATGTAAGTCCAGGACCAAAGGACCAAAATAACCAAGACTAGAGGTCCAAGTTCAGACATGCAAGTCTAGGACCAGAGGAACAGGTCCAGGGTTTAGGCCAGAAGGCCAAGTCTAGAAGGCATGACCCTTAGGGGTAGACTTGGTCAAAGCTTGGTCCTTACTTTAAGGGACAACCACTCTTAGAATTCTGCGATAGTGGAACATAATCCCAGAAAAAGTGGATTAAACACGAGGAGTGGCAAGGTTAGTGGAATCAACTCTAACAGTCACTTTGAAGGCTATATAAAACTATACCAAGTGAGGAAAAAGGTAAACAATTAATTACAATCACTTTAGGTTGCTCCTATTCTTATATTTTCTTACTCCATTGCTTTCAAGTGTTCTAACTTAAGTATCAGAGAGTCCATCGGCTGCTTAACTGCAGGGTTCTTCATATTTTCTTGAGTGTTTCAGGCCAAATTCCACAGTGTTCACGTCAGAGTGCCACTGCAGCAATGGTGGTTCAATTTTTACCT